CATTAATCACACTTTTTTTTTGGAGAGGAGCACAGCAGTGGTAGGGTTATGACTGGATATGAAAATGGTCGGAAGAATTGGCTTATGCATTTTTTTTTCCTCTTGAGGCTTTATTTTCTTCTTGCAAAGGACTTTTCCCCCCACTCTTAGCTAATTAAGTTAAATGCAAAAATTAATTAATACATTAACACTTTGTTTTTGGGGTTTAACACCAGCATTACTACTTCTGTTTATATGCTGTGGGGGAGGATGACAGTCCACCTCACCTTCTTTCTCACCTCAAACTCCTAAGAACTTCTGGATTTGGGCAGGCAAAACTGTTATTTTGGATTGCACCTATTAATTCTTTCCTATAACTTCTTGCTAGTTGATATAGCTTCGCTCTGATGCCTCTTTAATAAAAGTTTGGGGGATGTTTCATGTATACCATATACTACAAGTCTCTCTATTTTTACATATTGTAAGACTCCTCTGCAAAAACATTTAGTTAAAAATGTAATGAATTTTGCCTAAAAGGAAGACAGAAAGGTAGGCTGATATGGGTACCCTGAAGAAGTTTCTGATTCTAGAAGGAGATGTTTCAGCTTGAACTGTATGTTGTTATAAATCCTAGCAACAGTTATTAATTCAGTGAAAAACACAGAAAATTTAACTGTCAATAAGAACAGTAGGTGCTTCATTGTTGTGTGACTACAAGGGTGGACACAGATACCACCTTTGTGCTGCCATAAAAAAAATTATGGTGGCACAACAGCCAAGCAAACAGATGTCTGTACCCCTTATTGTGCCACTAATGGCCAAAATTTGTGGTGGCAACAGAGGTGGTATCAATTTGTGCCACTTGTTGCAGCAGATGTCTCTTAGGTTTATGACAGGACTGTGTGGTCAACTCAGAGCTGCCCATGCACTACAGCCACCCTGAGCAGGCAATATAGGGGTGTCAGGAACCCATCCTGCACAATCTGGGAATTCCCATTTCTGAGGTGCATAGTAACAGGCCCCTGAAGTCCATGCAGTGCCTGCCTGGGTTCCCCCATTTGGGATTTCCTGGACACCTGTCGAGCACTCCGGTGTGGTCCCAGGCCTGGGAGTGCCATTCAGCTGATTTGTAGCTGATTGCTGGCCTTAGCCCTGGGACCACACTGCAGTGTCCATCTTATGCTGGTGCAGGACTCTGGAGCATGTCACTAAGCAGAGAAAGCCAAGGTTTCCCTACTTACAGAGCTCCCCTGGGAGCTTCACATCACCCATTGTCCTGTAAGATGAACGGGTGATGTGTTTCACTCAGTGAAATGGATCAGTTGTGCTGGGACTTGTCCTGTTGTAGCTGATTCACTTCATTTGGCAACATCTATTCCTAGCCTTAGCAGAGAAAATGATAACGTTTAGAAGCTTCAGCTAGGTACTGTAATATTAGTACCAATTTACCACAAGATTGTCAGTCTCTTTTTGCGACAGTTTATTTGTGCTGTGTAGAGATTTCTAAGCTAGATCTTTACATTAGCTGCTGAACTGGAAACATTAAAAGTTGAGGTCAGCTATACTAAGAAGAGCAAAGCTCTTGGTACTCTGGCCAGATCCCTGAGGACTGGAAAAGTGCCAACGTGGTGCCCATTTTTAAGAAGGGGAGAAGGGATGAGCTGGGTCACTGTAGGCCAGTCAGTCTTACCTCTATCCCTGGGAAAATACTGGAAAAAAAATCAAAGAGCACATTTGTGAAGGCCCAGCAGGGGAAACAATGCTGAAAGGAAACCAGCACAGGTTTGTCATAGGTAGATCCTGCCTGACAAACCTTATAGCCTTTTATGACCAGGTCACACAGTGCCTTGACACAGGAGCTGAGGCTGATGTAATCTGCCTGGATTTTAGGAAGGCATTTGACACAGTTTCGCATCCTGTTCTTATATGGAAGCTAGCAGGGTGGGGAGTGGATGCCTACACAGTAAGGTGGGTGGCCAGCTGGCTTAGGGACTGCCCCCAGAGAGTAGTGGTGGATGGGTTGTTCTCGGCCTGGAAGGAGGTGGGCAGTGGGGTCCTGCAGGGTTCAGTCCTTGGACCGGTGTTATTTAATATTTTCATCAGCAATTTGGATGAGGGTGTAGAGAGCACCCTCTCCAAGTTCGCAGGTGATACCAAGTTATGGGGCAGAGTTAACACACTGGAGGGCAGGGAGCAGATACAGGCCGACCTGGACAGGTTAGATCAGTGGGCAGAACAAAATAGGATGCAGTTCAACAAAGACAAATGTAAGGTACTCCACCTAGGAAGGAGGAATCCCAAGCACACCTATAGGTTTGGGGACGACCTCCTCAGCAGCTCAGAGGCTGAGAGAGATCTTGGAGTCATAGTTGACTCCAAGGTGAACGTGAGCCAGTAGTGTAACGAGCCATCAACAAGGCTAGTCGCACCTTGTTGTGTATTAGCAGATGCATGACCAACAGATCAAGGGAGGTGATGCTCCTTCTATCAGACTTCAGTTGGAGTACAGTGTCCTGTTCTGGGCACTGCACTTCAAGAGGGACACGGGGAATCTGGAGAGGGTTCAGAGGGGAGGGCCACTCGCGTGATTAGTGGCCTCTGTGAAAGACCCTACGAGGGGAGGTTGAGAGATCTGGATCTCTTCAGCCTTCACAAGAGACGGCTGAGGGGAGACCTTGTAGCTGCCTACAAGTTTATCAAAGGAGGACAACAGGGCGGTGGTGATGCGCTATTTACCAGAGCGCCCCAGGGAGTAACTAGGAACAATGGGTGCAAACTAGTGGAGAGTAGATTTAGGTTAGACATTAGGAAGAAATTTTTTACAGTAAGGGTGGCCAGAATCTGGAATGGGCTCCAAGAGAGGTAGTACTATCATCTGACTTGGAGGTCTTCAAGAGGAGGCTTGATAGTCACCTGGCTGGGGTCATCTGACCTCAGTCCTCTTTCCTGCCAGGGGCAGGGGGTCAGACACGATGACCCAATGTGATCCCTTCCGGCTTTACAATCTATGAATCTGTTAACCCAGTCAGCATTTCTAATGCTAATCTACTGCTGGTGGTTTGGGACTAAGTGTGTACTGAGCTATTTCTGGTATTTCTGTACTATTCTACCTTGTGGACATACCCAAAAAGCGCATGTTTTATTTAAAAGGATGTCATTGAAGTAGTAAAGACCATACCTCTTTCCCAGAAGTTTTTTATTACTGTCATCCAAATCCTTGCAAAAGGCAAGGCTTTCTGAGGCTGATATCTGCTATTGGACCCAATTGCATAGTTAGTCTAGAGTTAGACAAGCTTTTGAATGTAAGACATTCTTCAGGACAAAAGCTTGTATAACTATCCCAACTATGCATTTGGTTCAATAAAAGATATCACCATAAGAAATCCTTGCCTAGCACAATTCCTGGACCATCACAGCTGCAACATCACTCTAACACCATCCAAATCATTGAAATTTACTAAATAAAAGATCTTGAGTATACTCTAAAGCCTAAAATTAAAGAACTTGCTACTTCTGCAGAGAGACTCAGACCCACTTTGTTTATAGATGTACACTTTGTGCATGTATAATCTATTCCTGTAACCACAGGGAATATTTGAATTAGAAGTAATCTTGACATAAAGAATAAACTGACATAGACAAAGCTGACATATTGCTATGTGCAAAAAGCCACTGTATTTCTGTTAACAAATACAAATCCTATTTTTTAAGAATTGAATGAGTCGGTCAAGATATGTATTAGACAAATGCAAATACCTGATAATCTTAAAAATAAGAGTTGTCAGTTGAAATGTTTATCTTGCCTGAGCTGAGACATAGAGTAGGTATGTGGCGTGATTATACAACAAAACTGTTTATACAGGTACCCAGCTTATGCATGCAACCATGGCAAGTACATGTTGAAATTTAAGGGCATGTTTGTATGTATCAGGCCATTAGTTATTAAAATAGTTCCTTAAATTATGTGCTGTTTTTGTTGGTCATGTAAGCAGTCTGAAAATATCATCAAGCGTAAAGTAAAGAAATTGCAGGGCAAATCAGATGCGATAATGTATGTACAATTTTTTTTTCAGTCCTCTCTTGGTATCACTTTAGCATTAAAATAACACAGATGTTTCATTTTTTCCCCCCTTTGTGTCTCATATACTTATTCAAGGTTTTCTTTTTCCCCCTTGTAGGAATTGTGGTGCTTGGATTAAATAGACCTCATGCCAAGAATGCACTTAATAAAAATCTTTTAAAAATGGTAAGTGGAAAAAACTAACTGCTTCTAATGTGAAGGTAAAACATTTGAATTAAGTGTTTGAAAAGTATTTGGTTTTCCCCTCCTCCTTTTCTCTGTAGATGTCAAAAGCTGTGGATGCTTTGAAATCTGATAAGAAAGTACGAACTGTTATATTCCGGAGTGAAGTCCCTGGGATATTCTGCGCTGGTATGCAAACTTAATTTTATTATGAAGTTAGAAATCCATAGTCTCGTAGTACAGTAGGAATGGCCAAGATTCAAAGGAAGCATTGTATCATTTGCTCATGTTCATCTCAGTAGCAAGTAAAACTTATGTGACTTTTTTTTCTTTTCCCCCTTTAATAAGGAACTAACATAATTTGCTGGTAGTAAATGATTTAATCAGATTCAATACATTCCACCCTTTGTGGTGAAAAACTACGTTCGGTTGAAGTTTCAAAAACTTAACAATATTCAAGTCACACATGCTTATTTTCACAGTTTTAAAGAAACCACCAATTTGTTTGAAATTATTGGCTAACCACCTGGAATCAGTCTGTTGAAATGTTAAGCTAGCTTTTGATGCTTGTAACCACTCCTGCAAGTGTCAAGAGAGTATTTTCATTTTATTTAGTTACAAAATTAAACTGGATGTACAAATCAATTTATTGTGTCTATCCAATTCAGGGTAGTGATTGATTCATTCAGATTAGATAAAACAATTTGGAAAGCATTTTACCTTCTTCCCCTTCCTCTCTTTTTTCCCACCCCCCATACTCTGAGTAAAATTGGTGTGAGAGAGTCAGATCTACTGATTTTTTTACAACTTAAAGCAGATGACCAGAAGCAATTAATTTAGTTTGCTACCTAAAAATATTAAATGAAAAACCTTTTTTTAACATTCTATATCCAGTATGCCAAGTATTTTTAAAACTAATGAAAACAGTATTTGAAAATGTGACTTGTTCATTTTTAACTGAATGCCATTTTCCATCAAAATGTGGGTTGACACGGATCAAAAAGAAAAAATTGTTATCTAGTAAAATAAGAAATGCATCAATTATCACTTTTTAACATAAAATAGAAAATGAGTCTATGTACATGTGTAGTGTATCTTCATGATTAGCAGAAAGTAAGATACATAAAAGTGATTCTGTTCAGTTTCAAATCATAATGTCTTAATGGATACCAACCACAGATAAATCAACCTTTTGAAATAGGAAAATAACTAAAAAGTACAAATGCAAAGCAAGAGTAGAGCTGAGCTGGTGGTTTTAAATCGCTCTCGTGGAGTGTAAATGGTAAACAGAAGAGGATGCCCTCTTATTTTCAGTTTGGAGTTGTGAAACCTGTTATAGTAACATATGAAACTGTAAAATACACTGGTATAAAAACAATTGATTTTTTTTTTCAACTTCCTGTTCCACATTTTTAAATAAATGTGCATAACTATTGAAGAATGGGGAATGCGTAGGATCATAATAGTGCATAAAAATGCACCGTGAGTTATACCTGTACCTATGGAAGCCTTTTGATGAATTTTGCTACCAAACAATATTTTTCAGAATTTTTTTTTTTGACTGATTTGGTAGCTGAGATGTAGGAAACATGAGTTCATGACTATCAGCACTCATTCAGAGGAAAAAAGGAACTTAGGCTAAGTATAGACATTTAAAAAGCCTGAGGTGAAATTGATCTAAGTTATGCGGTTTTCTGTAAGCAGTATAGTTTAGATTGGTAGTGAACAGAACATACACTTGCTCTTTGAGGATATGGGGGTGGGGGGCAAATCTTAAACTGGGCTCTGCCATTTTTAAAGCAGTCTGTGTGTGCTAAATGTCTCTTATGGGTATAGACTGGCTTTGGGCATTGACCTTCTGTTCTGTTACGGCTATAGACCAGTTTCTGATCACTTACACTTTTACTGGTATATTGTTTGTACCTGGGCTTGGGTAGGTCATTGAATTGATGTGCTTGGGCTCCAATGGTAGTTGGTTCATTTAATTTAACACCCTTTGCTGGTTAGTTTCTCAAAGCTGTGATTGGCTCCAAAGAGTGTTATTGCTTCTCCATGATTGAAAAGTAGGAAGTGTTGGTTTATGCTGCAGATTGCAGCATGTTACAGAGCTACATAACAGCTTTAAATATGCTTGCTCAGGTAGGTGGAAGAGTCAGGTAGCACCACCTCTTAAGGTGGTTGATACTTTACTCTTGTAGGATACTGTTTTTATATGCTTGTAACTTTGGCAAACTGGAATGGTCCTTTGTTTTTCTATATGCCTCTCTGCCCCAATTAAAATTTTATTTTTTGAAAACTTCAGCCAAAATAGTTCACTTGTGTCCAAGATAAGGGTGGGAGAGAAAAAGTTTTAAGACACAAATCAAAAATATCCTTTCATACATAGTTCAAAAGAAAAGCAAAACATTGGTGACGTCTTTGGAAAATTATAGCTTTCCAATGCTTGAAAGGTGAGATTTGACAGTTAACAGAGGAGAGGAAGGTCTTTATGCTGGGACTCTGTCATTTTCTGACCTCCATGAGATGTATATAGATTTGGCTAAGTTACTTTGGCTTTTGGGGGAAAAAAAAATAAAGCATTTGACATATATGTAGTAAAGGTTTATCAAGATGGGGAATATTCCCCAAATATTTCCTCCATATTGGGCATATGTCAAGTTAGTATTTAGCAGAGCATTCCTTATAATTGCAGCTCTGGCCTGTGCAGCACCCAGCAGCAATCATCTGGATTGTCCCGTGTTCCTGGTGACCTCTTCCGTTGGGTCCTGGCAGCATGGAGGATGAAACTACATGATTCAAGCACAAAAGGGACCAGAGCTGATCTGATCTGATGGTGGGTTGGTGTGAGGGGATGATTGGATTTACAGAAAGGCCACCAAACAGAGAATGGGACTAGGTGTTGGGGCAGGTGAAAAGTGGGACTGTTGGGTAAGGAAACTGGAGGTGTGGACAAATGTATCATTGAGCTGTTTTAAAAGATAAGAGGGAGCTAACTGTTATGTCTTGTTTTGGTGTGATATGAGTTAGTTAAATTACCCTAACTTTGAGTCTTGAATTACAATTGAAATTGAAGCTGTTTAGCTACACTTATATTGCTACAGAATCATTTAGCTGTAATGTTTGCATTGTAGCAGCTTATATCAGTATCCTTTGATACTGCTACAATTTTTACAGCAGTTTGTGTTCTGGATTTGGGCTGGAGTGGATACTGGGGACTGGGAGTGACTGAGATGGTAAGCTCTTATGGGAGAGACTATGAGTTGCTGGGATGAGAGCTTGAGGAAGGGAAACCAGAATGAGTAGCCAGAACTGCGATAGAAACATAGGACTGAAAGTGGCCTCCTGGGCCACTTATATTTGTTCCATGTATTTGCCCAAGAGTTTCCCAGAATTGTCATTTGTGATTCTTGTACACTATGCTAAGCAAAAAAACAGAAAAGCTGAGAACACCATAGGACAGAGCTGCTCAGGGCTCTTGCTGTGCCCAGCACCTTGTCCCCGTGCCATGCAGGCAGCATGAGCCCCTGCTACCGCTGCCACTTGAATAGCCAAGTTCTGCCCCCTCCTTCCAGCCGTGTAGGCTGTGAGTTCACTGGGCCCCGTAACTCTCTGCTGACCTGACCTGGAGACCTAGGGGAATAATTCTTTCCTGACCTCAAATTTGTCTTTGTGGCCATGGGCCTCTCCCCTCTTTAAGTGCAGACAGGAGAATTGTCACACCCAAGTCAAAAAGCAACTCTTAGTTGTGGCCAATGCCCCAGTGCTTCAAAGGACTGTGACACCCTCAATACACTCAACATCAGTAGTATTTACATAGAGAAAATATTTCTTCCTGCGTCTTACAGGCAACCAGCGCAACACCTGCATCGCTGGATTTCCAGATACCTGCCACATTGCAAAGGAGTTATCTGTGTTAACCCTATGTGGAGATTGTAAATACTTGATTCCATATGTTACATGTACTGATTTGTTAAGCCAATAGCTCTCTATCATACTGTTACCTTATGAAGGTTGGACTCACTTTAAGTGAGTCAGATTCTTTGTTCTTGTTATTTTACTCAGAAGGGATTCCAGGCTACAAAACTTAACTCCTTTGGGCATCTTCTAATTTCCAATCTAAATTTGTTCATAACCAGTCGTGCCTTTGGATTTCATGCCCGTGTTTCTTTAGCCTGAGCTCTTCTCTCTTCCAAATATTTTATCCTGTGAATAAACTTGTAAAAAGTACTACTGTCCTCTCTTAATCTTTGTCTTTGTTAAGCTAAACAAACCATTCTTGTTTAATATTTCATAACCAAAAGTCTCCATTCCCTGTACCACTTTAATGAGCTGCCTTTGTGTGTGTTAGAATTCAACAAAGGGCAGTCCAACTTAGTGGCCACAGGTTGTATGCCACATGGGCTGCACTGCGTGGCCTCGCCTGCCACCGTGCATCTCCAGCATCCTGGGTGTCTCTCCCCTGCCTCCCTTCTGCTTCCCTGCCAAGTCCACCAGCTGTGAGATCCACAGGTTGTGTGATGCCCCACCCCACCCCCAGTGGTGAGTGCAGGCAGTGGAAGATGGAGGAGGAGGAATGGGGGCCCTGGAGACAGGCAGCAGCAAGAGGAGAGTAATAGAGGAGGCAGACCCTGGGCTTGGGATCCTGGGAGGTGGTACTGTCATTCAACCTCTTGGGGCGCGTCCACACATGCAAGCATGTGTGCTTGCAGCAGCTCAAATAGAAGCAGTGCAAATATGAGCCAGGGCTTTTTGCTTCAGCACACGTGCTCGGACACGCACTTCGTTGTGGAGCAAATTGTACCACTTGGGACAAAATAACCCTGCCTAGCTCCTCCCAGATCTTCAGTTAGGGGAAGCTAGAGCCCAGCACCTGTGCTGTCCCCAGCAGTATAAAAAGCTGCCCTGTCCTGGCCCCAGCAGTATAAAAAGCCACCCTGGCAAGTAGCTCAGGGCTGCTAGCTCTCAGGAGCTTCTGGGGCCCAACCAATTGGTACCTGGAGAGACTACCCCTTGTGCCCCACTTGGCCAGGAGGTCAGCCACAGCCAGCTGGGTCCAAGGTGCCAGCTCTGAGTAAGCAGGGTCCTGCTACTGGCTGCCCTAGTAGGAATTTTGGAGTTCCCTATTGGAAAACTGAAAAATCCCCGATTAAAAAAAAAAATCCCAAAGTCACTCTCTAAAATACTCCCAA